CTGATAATTCTAAACTACTGTATGCATGTTTTTATATTTTGAGACATATGTTTTTAGAAACCTTAGGTATTTACAATGTACACCAATTTCAGTATGGTCTTTGTATTTCATAAAGATTTTGCTGGGCTGGAGTGATAGCACAGCGGGTATGGCATTTGCCTTGCACGCAGCCAACATGGCCGGCCGGAGTTCGATTCCTCCGCCCCTCTCGGAGAGCCCAGCAAGCTACTGAGAGTATCTCATCCTCACAGCATTGCCTGGCAAGCTTCCTGTGATGTATTCGATATGCCAAACACAGTAACAAGTCTCACAATGTTACTGGCCTGCTCAAGCAAATCGATGAACAACGGGAGGACAGTGACAGTGACAAAGTTTTGTTGAAAAATTTCAGGAGTTTATGATCTATTTATTTTTAAATGACATGAGTATATACTTATAAGGACTGTAATGAATCTGTATACTTCTTTTAGGATTGCCATTTTTATGATATTAATCCTCCTGATCAATGTGCAGGAAATATGCCTACATTTTATTGTATCTGCTTCTATTTTTTGAAGTATTGTTTGTAGTTTTCTTTGTATAGGTTCTCCACTTCTTTAGTTAATTTGTACCCTCGGTACTTGGTTTTATGAAATACAATAGTGAACAGGATTATATTTTTCTTCTCTTTCATTAATTGTATATAGAAAAAACTATGGAATTTTCTATATTAATTTTGTAACCTTCCCCTTTACTATACAAATCTATTGTTTCTAGGACCTTTTTTTGTAGAGTCTTTAAAAGAGAATGCTATTGAATGAAGACAGACTCTCAGATCAGTAGAATAGACTTGAATATCCTGAGACATGCTCAGTTATATGATCAGTTTTCTTCAATAAATGACAAAAATAAAGAATATAGAACTCTCTCTAATGCCAGTCATAATAGTCTCCAGCTACTGTGTTACTATCACTATCTTTCTTGAAGTCCTTTTATAGTTGTTTAAAATTTTGCTTTTCCCTCACTGGGAGTTTATATGTTTAGAAGTATTATTTCTTTCTGGTGTGCATGTTCTTTGTTTATTAAGAATTGAACTAAAAAAGCTTAACCTCTTTTAGTGTAAAGTCTATATCATCTGATACTAGTTTGCCCAACTCCAGCTTTTTTGAGGAAGTTGTTTACTTGAAGAACTATTTCCTAGCCCTTTATATTGAACCTGTGTTTGTTTTCACTATTCAAAAGTGTTTCTTGTAGGCAGAAGACTGTTGGATTCAATTTTTTGTCACTGTGTCTAATTGGTGAGTTTAGACCATTGACGTTGAATCTGTGATTTTTCTGACTATTCAGAAGTGGTTCTAGTGGGCAGCAGTCTGTTGGATTCAATTGTTTTGTCACTCTGTGTCTAATTGGTATGTTTAGACCATTGGCATTGAGAAAGATTAATGTCATGGGGTTTTGTGTATCCTTCTTTAGAAGTTTGTGTTTGTGAGGTTTCTTTGCCTTACAGTTCCCCTTAAGTTCTTTCAAAATTGTTTTTGAGTCCCTGAAGCTACTGAGTTGTTGTTTACCTGTGTAGTTGTGTATCATTTCTTTAAGTCTGAATTCTTTTAAATCTGGCTGGGTAAAGTATTCTTGGTTAGCATTCATTTCATTTTTTTTTCACTATATCTCACCACTGACCTTGAACCCGGAAGGTCTCATTTGATAGGTCTGCAGTAAATCTTGGGGAAGTCCTTTCTATGTAATAATTTCATTCTTTGATCTTGCTGCTTTCAATATTCAACCTCTATTGTTTTTGTCAGTCTGAGTATGATATGTCTTGAAGTCATTTTGATCGCTTCACTTGATCCTGTTACTCATCAATTTGCTTGAGCGGGCACTAGTAACATCTCCATTTGTCCCTGTCACGTGCTACTGTAGCCCAATGACGTCTGCTCATTCTAGGAACACGAAGAACCTCAAACCGATCGATCAGGGTCTTGATGAAGAAGTCTGACCATCTCGTGGGTGGTCGGCCACGCAATCTTTTGATGTCCCATAGAATCCAATCGATAATGGCTCTAGTCCAGCAGTCATCTCCAAATCATGTTACATGTCATGCCCATCTGATTTTTCATACCTTGGCAAATGAGACAGCATCCCTGATTCTTGATCATTGATGGAAGTCGGAACTCAGGATTCTTTCTCTCATTTGTGTGAAGCGTGATACTCCAAGCATAGCTCTTTCGATTCCTCTTTGGGAGACCTGAATAGTGTACTCATCCTGTTTTTGTAGGGCCCAGGTTTCTGAGGCGTATGCTAATGCAGGAAGAACAGTGGAATTGAAGAGATGTGCCCAGAGCCGCAGGTTCTTTGTCCTCTTAGCTATTTCTTCGACGCTCTTGAAGGTGTTCCAAGCCACTCTCTTCCTCCTGCGCAACTCAGGTGCCAGGTCATTTGTCATGTTGACTTCTCGACTTAGGTACACATAACCGTTGCATACGGAGATGTTCATTTTGTTGAGAGTGAATGGAACATCAGGAACAAGACTGTTTCTCATAAACATTGTCTTGGTGAGATTCAGCAGTATTCCGGCGTTTCCACACTCATGGTCGAAGTTGGCCAGCATTTGTGCTGCTTGGCTAATGTTTGGTGTTATTAGAACGATGTCATCAGTGAAGCGGAGGTGGTGTAATTGCTGACCGTCTATCTTCACTCCCATTCCTTCCCATTCCAGTTGTCACATGACATTCTCGAGGGTGGCACTAAAGAGTTTTGGTGAAATGGTACCACCCTGCCGAACCCCTCTCTTGACATCAATGATCACCTCCCTGTAGAATGCTGAGATCCTGGTAGTGAATCCACAATACAGTTCACGGAGAATCTTGATGTATTGAGTTTGAATGCCCTGTTTGGCTAGAGCTTCGATGACCACTACTGAAGTGGTCATCGAAGTCCTAGCCAAACAGACTGCTCAACAGAATCAAAGGCTTTCTTTAAATCAATGAACGTTAGACAGTGCGACATCTTGAACTCCCGAGAAACCTCAATGAGCTTGGTTATCGTGTGGATATGGTTGATCGTGCTAAATTCTTTGTGGAACCTATCCTGCTTGAATGGCTATTCTTCATCTAGTCTTCTGCTAATCCTATTCAGCATGACTCGAGTGAACAGCTTGTAGATGACAGACAATAGGCAGATTGGGTGATAGTTGCCAATGTCGTGGTTGTCTACCTTCTTGTACAGTCAAACGGTCCTGCTGGTTTTCCACTGGGACGGAACCTTGTATTCAGACAGGTAGTATGTGAAGAGCCGAGCCAACATATTGATGAGTACTGACGGCAGTTCTTCAGATGTTTGGGTCTGACCTTGTCTAGACCAGGTGCTGTTCGCTTCTTTACCAATGAAATGGCATGTCGGGATTTGGAAGAATGAAGGTTGGTAATGACATATCCATCCTGTGGAATTTTTTATGTGGGCAGGTGGACGTGGCTATCGAAGAGATCTGAGTAGAAGTCATCGATTATCTTCTTCATTGCCCTTCTGGAAGATGTGATAGATCCATTAGGATGTTGGAGGGCAGTCAACTTGGTCTTGTTTTTGGTGAAGGACAAGTGGGTGTTGAGAATGCTTTTCCCAGCATCTGCTGCATCTGCCAGCACTACTGCTCTTCTTTCTTTGAGGTCTTCTTTTATTGCTTCCCTGAACTGCTTTGCTAGCTCGGACGTTCTCTTGCGGTTGCCTGAGGCTTGTGACAAGCCACGTTGGCAAATAAGCTCAAGAGTTTTCGAAGACAGGCATTTTTTTGTGGCTATCTCTCTCAGCATTCCTCGCACAATCATGGAGGTGCCGAACCAGTTGATCATATTCCTCGTCAATGTTGTAAACGATGATATCTTCCCATGTTGCCGCATTAGTGCCAAAGAGCTCCCAGTTGGTGGTTATTCTGGGAGTCCTCTTCTTAAACTTTGCAGCCCTTCTCCTAGTTCCATGAAGTAGAAATTTGCACAAAGGAGATGGTGGTCCGATCCCGTTTGGAATTTTGGGACAATAGTGACATCAGTCAGGCAAAACCGTCGATTGAATATGATGTGGTCAGTTTCGTTGTGGAACTGTCCACCACACTAAAGAAAGTAAAGTTTGTACTGTAAAGTTAAAGTTTAATTTTGATTGATAATTTGGAGAAACACACATTAGAATTCCACTTAAAGTATGATAATATAGCATGTTTCAACTATAATTCAGTACTGATTTGTCATAAGTTTTTTATTATTGTGTGTAGTCATCTGTATACCTCTTTAGTTTGATTATGTGGCTTGGGAATTAATTATACCTTTGTTGAGTCTCATTCTTTTGTTAACATTTTGGACAATTCACTGCTCATTACAGTATTAGAATAATGCAAGAGAAAGAAGTCACACCTGTTTCTTCACTTTTGAAAATTGTTCTGTTGGTAGAGAAAAATATGAATGAATTTTATTATTGTTTTTGAATTTATCATCATTCATAATAGCTACTACTAATTTTTGTTTAAAACCTCATTGTTCATAATATTTACTGTGTTCTGGTATTTTGGAAATATACCAAACACAGATAAAGCTGCATCTTTGTAAAAGCAATGTAGATCAAATAGTTCAAGTATATAGGTATTTTATATATGACAAAGTTTGATATAAAGCACATAAGCTATTATCATGATTTTTTTTTATAAAATCTGGTTTGTTGTTGATTCAGTTTTGTTTTATTGTGTCTTGCCACATGTAACATATAGTATCCTAATTTGTTAAAGACACTTGTATGAAAAATATATCTGTTAGATCATGAGGACTGAAAAGGACTGTTCACACCACAGTGTGGACCAGCTGAACATAACCACTGCTCCTATTGTTGCTTTCAGAGTTGGAAGCCATATAGATTGTGAATGCTGAACCAACAACTACTAAAGGTTAACAACTGTCACTGTTACTGCTCTTATAATATGTAAATATATTTACCATTGAGCTGTATGAACATCTATTAACACTTGTAATTTTTATTGCCAGGTAACCTTGGGCGAGTAGACCAGGTCTCTGAGTTTGAGTATGATCTGTTCATTCGTCCAGATACCTGTAATCCACGCTTTCGAGTTTGGTTCAACTTTACTGTTGAAAACGTGAAAGAATCACAGGTGAGAGAAATTGGATATTTTCAATGTGATTTTTTATTGGATAACTACATCTTTTGGAATTGTAGGAATGTTGAAATAATCACCATATAAGGAATATATGGTATAGCTATAATCTAATTTAATTTCAAGAAGTATAAAAATGTATAATGCTATTCATTTTATGTATATTCTTTGAATGTATATATATTTTATGTATATTCTTTTAATGTAATATATATTCTTTGCTAATTGAAAATTTGCATAATGTGTTCTGCTTTCTAGAGTGACACATTCTGAGGGGCAGTTTCAGTGACGGTTTCCTATATGTATACAGAGAGGTTATTTCTGTGTTACTTTTTAAAATATTCTTTATTTTAATTTTATTTATTTATTTAATATTTATTTATTTATTCTCCTATACAGAGAGGTTATTTCTGTGTTACTTTTTAAAATATTCTTTATTTTAATTTTATTTATTTATTTATTTATTTCTCTTTGGGTCACACCTGGCGATGCACAGGGGTTACTCCTAGCTCTGCACTCAGGAGTTACTCCTGGCGGTGCTCAGGGGACCATATGGGATGATGGGAATCGAACCCAGGTTGGCCGTGTGCAAGGCAAATGCTCTACCTGCTGTGCTATCTCTCCAGCCCAATATTCTTTATTTTTTAAGTACTGAAAGAAAAATTTCTTACATACCTCAGTTATGGTAAAGGTATGTCTTCTATACAACAGAATGTCTATATATCTTAAAAACACGATCATGATCACGGCCATCCTGTAGTTCGTCGATTGCCTTGAGCAGGCCCCAGTAATGTCTCCTTCATCCTAGCCCTGAGATTTTAAAAAGTGCCATATTCAAGGCTCTTTCAGGGTTTGGAGAATGAGACCCATCATTGTTACTGGTATTTGGCATATTGGGTATGCCACAGGGAGTTTACCAGACTCTCCCGTGTGGGCAGGTTACATTCGGTAGCCTGCCAGTTTGTCCAAAGTAGGAATGAGATCATAAGATGTCACGAGGCCGCCATAAGATGTCGTGTGGTCACCATCTTAAAAACAATATGATTCTAATACATAATCCTATTTTACCTTTGATGTTGCTGCTAGAGAATTCACAGCCAATTTACAGCACTTAATAATAACTCTGGAAAACTTTTTGCTCATGTCTATATGTAGTAATTTTTATTTTAATCTTAATAATTTGTCAGGATTTTCTGTTATTATTTTATAATGTGCTTTTATGATTCTATCCAAATCTTAAGAAAATATATTGATAAATATAGAAAAAATATAAAAATAGAATAAAATATGCTTCAAGCATTAATAAAATATGTCTTTGAGAAACCAGTTATTATTGTGTTACATTGAAACAGTAGATCATGGAAGACTTTGCATAAACTAGTACAAATATTGGTATGATTCTTTTAAGCAAATGAAACCCTAGCCTTGTAGCCTAACATCTTCTCTCAAGATCATATCTTACTAAGAGATTTGGTGAAAAGTGAGGAATTTGTTTGCTTTCTTTTTTTTAAAATTTGACCTATTTGCTCCTTCACCTAGTTTCTGGTTCCTCTCCATTTTCTCAAATGTATCTGTATTCTGATGTTATGCAGTGATCAATGTCTAGAATTAAGGACTATGGTCTTCCTTGACAGAATTCTTTTCCTGGCACATACACTTTAGCAGAGGGGGTGGGGGAATTGAGTCACTTCACACTACTAAGGATTTTCTTGATTCTTACATCACAAATAAAGCGTTGTATGTATATAATGTATACTGAAGTTCAGAGACTAACTGGAAGGAGTTAATCTTCTGTGGGAGCTTCACTGAATATTGTTAACTAAATATATTTTAATCTCAGTATTTTAGAACAAGTGATGGGAGGTGGGGAGAAGTTAAACACCATAGTTCAGCATTCTAAGGCAAACTTTAGTTCTTTTACTTCTTGGTTTTACTTAATCTCCCATTACAAAATTGCTTTTTAAGTTTTTTACAGTAATAGTAATAATATTCTTCCCCTCCAACCACTATAATTAAACTTATACTTTATTTAAAGGAATTTACTTGATCCTATTGTTTTATGAAGACAATGAATAATCCTCAAAATGCATTTTCCTAAGTCTGTTTAACTTAGTTTTGAGAGTTTACCTCATAAACAGGAGACCTTAGTCATATTTGCAGTAGACTGAGACTTGACCCTCCAAATCTGGAAGCCTTGCGTTATTTCTGCTATCCTTAGGTAAAAATATCATCTCTCATTCTTTTGCTGGGGCTTCTGTTTTAAGTCAGTAACTTGTGGTTCTTTTCTTAAAATTTATTTTATTTTTATAAAGTTCACGATATTTGATTACATTTAATATTATAACACCAATTCCACCACCATTGCACTTTCCAAACACCATATTTCTATCCTGAACACCAAAACCTGCCCCCAAAGCAGAACCAAAATAATTTATTTTGTATTGTTTTTTAGGAATAATCTGCTAAAAATTATCCAGAAAAGGTTTCTTAGAGGAAAGAAATGTGTGAAGATTGTTGTATTTCACCCAAAAGCCATTAAGCCCTTCTATAAGAGATTAGTAACATGTTAAAGATTGAGCCTTGTGTGTGTGTCTGTGTGTGTGTTTATAGATAGATAGATAGATAGATAGATAGATAGATAGATAGATAGCACTGTAGCACTGTCCTTCCATTGTTCATCGATTTGCTTGAGTGGACACCAGTAATGTCTCCATTGTGAGACTTACTGTTACTGTTTTTGGCATATTGAATGCGCTACGGGGAGCTTGCCAGACTCTGCCATGTGGACGTAATACTCTTGGTAGATTGCTGGGCTCTCTGAGAGGGACAGAGGAATCGAAACTGGGTTGGCTGCGTGCAAGGTAAATGCCATACCCGCTGAGCTATCGCTCCAGCCCAGATCTAGATATATGTAGCACTGTAGCACTGTACTACTGTTGTTCATCGATTTGCTTGAGTGGGCCCAGTAATGTCTCCATTGTGAGACTTGTTACTGTGTTTGGCATATTGAGTATGTCACCTGTAGCTTGCCAGGTTTTGCAATGCCAGTTAGATACTCTCGGTAGCTTGCCAGGCTCTCCGAGAGGGCGGAGGAATCAAACTTGGGTTGGCCTGGTTGGCCTCATGCAATGCAAGTGCCCTATGTGCTGTGATATTGCTCAGAATAGTCCCAAAGTAGTGAGTGGTCGCAAGTCAACCTAAAGTCAACCTGCAGCAAACTATAGGTATATATCTGTAACAATTTATTTCCCCTTAAGATTGTTTGCATTCTACTTTTTTTTCTTACCTTCTGTGCTACTATATATCCAGTCCCTTGGCTAAGTTACTAATTATTTCTCTGCAGAGAATCAAGAAATGTCCTCTGGTGCTACTTTAACGAGATCTCTCCCAACATTTCTTATTCATATTATTTCTTAGGACTGACTTATGAAATGTTTACCTAATTGACGTTGGTATTGTACAAATATATGCTGAGCAAATTTAGTTTTATAAGTTATCATAGGCATCAACTCGTAGAATAAAGTATTTATTTTTGGTTGACATGTGTTTATTTATTTATTTATTTATTTATTATTAGTGAAACACCATGAGGTACAGTTATAGACTTACAAATATTTGTGCTTGGGTTTCAGTTATACAATGATCAACCCCTCCACCAATGCCCATTTTCCATCACCACGGGTCCCAGTATCCCTCCCACCCCCATACACTCATCCCACGCTGCCTCTGTGGCAGGGCATTCCCTTTTGTTCTCTCTCTCTTATTGGGTGTTGTAGTTTGCAAAAGAGGCATTGAGTGGCATTTATGTTTGGTCTATAGTCTACTTTCAGCATGCTTCTCCCATCCTGAGAGGATCCTCCCAACATCCTTTATTTGGTGCCCCCTTCTCTATCTGAGCTCCCTTTTCCCCTAGCACGTGTGGCTAGTCTCCAAGTCATGGAACAAAATTCCTGGTACTAGTCTCGGCCACACCTGGCTGTTAGTCTCCCATTATGTTACTTTATGTTCCCCACATGAATGCAATCTTTCTGTGTCTATCCCTCTCTTTCTGACTCACTTTGCTTAACATTATACTTTCCATGTAGTACCACTTGTATGTAAATTTCATGACTTCATCTTTTCTAACAGCTACATAGTACTCCATTGTGTAAATGTACCAACAAACTCCTAGAAACAAGAGACTTGTATAGTAAAGTTGCAGGCTATAAAATCAATACCCAAAAATCCATGGCTTTCCTATATGCTAATAGTGAAAGAGAAGAAAATAACATGAAGAAAACAAGTTCATAGTTGGGCCCCAGAAAATCAAGTACCTAGGTATCAGCTTAACTAAGGAAGTAAAGAACTTGTACAAAGAAAACTACAAAATGAAATAAGGAAATAAAAGAGGACATGAGGAAATGGAAAAATATACCCTTTTCATTGATCAGGATAATTAACATTGTCAAAATGGCAATACTTCCCAAAGCACTGTACAAATTCAATGCGATCCCTATTATGATACCCATGACATTCTTCAAAGAAATGGAGCAAACCTACTACAAATCTACAACAAAGCAGTAATAATTTAAACAGCATAGTACTGGAACAATGGCAGAGCTGTAGACCAATGGAACAGGGTTGAATATACTGACATATCCCCCCAAGCATATGATCATCTAATCTTTGATAAGAGGGCAAGAAAAGTGAAGTGGACCAGGGAAAGTCTCTTTAAAAAATTTTGCTGGCAAAACTGGACGGCTACATGCAAAAAAGTGGGCTCAGATCTCTGCCTAATGTCATGTAGAAAAATAAGATCAAAATGGATTAAAGACCTCAACATCAGACCGGAATCCATAAAATTCATTGAAGACAAAGTTGGCAAAACCCTCCATGATATTGAAGCTAATGGTATCTTCAAAGATGTCACGCCACTGGCCAAGCAAGTGAAAACAGATAGACAAATGGGACTATCTTAAACTAAGAAGCTTCTGTACCTCAAAAGAAACAGTGACCAA